GTCGTGACCCCCCTCCCCACCCCCCTGCGAGGCCGAGACTGGAACGAGCCGGAGCAGGCGGCGACGCGGCATGCCGTGGCGACGCGTGCGCAGACGAGTCCGTCACACCCGTGCGCCTCCCTGTCTATCTTAGGGGGTGTGGCTCTGGGGTTGCGTGCGTCCTATTGTTGGAAAAACAGAATGTCCGCACTGCGCCTGTCAACCAAGCGCATTGCATGCGTTAGCGCGAGGACGAGCAGGGGGGTGGGGAGGGGGGTCGTGACCCCCTCCCCACCCCACCCCTGCGAGGCCGAGCCTGGAACGAGCCGGAGCAGGCGGCGACGCGGTGTGCCGCGGAGCCGCATGCGCAGGCGAGTCCGTCACACCCTTGTACACTCATGCACTACTTAGCAAAACAACTTTGTGCTACATTTGTTAGGGTTCTGTACTGCTTAGCAAGACAACTTTGTACCGCATTTGTCAGGGTTCTGTACGGGTGCGCACTTCTTTGTTTCCTCTATGTGCACTGCATTCGTCATAGTCTTATGCTGCAGGTGTAAACATTTTTGCGCTGCGTGCATCCTTCTTTGTGCCAAAGTTGTGACTGGTTATGCCAGCTCTGTGGACTGCATGACTTACATTTAAGTGCTTCAATAGGTGCACTAATTCTGTGTTCTGCACTACGCGAAAGTGCTTCTCTTGTGGTTCATTTTGAGCATGTACCGCACTTCATGCACACATATAGTGAACTTCCTTGTAAGACTTCGGAGAAGTGCACACATTTTGGAGAGACCTATTATGGGACTGGCTAGGGCCTGGTTGTAACTGGGTGGTCAATTTTTTTTCCTTATCTGAAGCATTTTTTCTTTTGGAGTATATATTTTTCGTGGTAGTACAAATGATGTCATTTGTACTACTTGCACCAACATTGAGTAATGCACTGTGCGTACCAAGTTTGTATTTTGTGAACTGAGCGAAAGTTGCTGCAGCCCCTTCGTTCTGCATTTGTGCACGTACTGCACGTTCTACACTCTGTGAACTGCCTTATATTTGTTATGTGAACTGTATTTACGTTTACTTATAAATATTAATATTAATGTTCTTTTTCTATAATTAGTTTTGTGGATACTTGTTCAGTGAAAGCAATTGATCAGAAACAAATTGTGATACATAAGCAAACAATAGAAATAAAATTTAATGATAATTCTAAAATGACATTGTTTTTACAAAAGAAATGTTCGATGTGAAGCAATGGACATAATCAAAAGCTTGCATACATGAAACAAAGAACAACACAACAACTAAAGTAAAGTGAAACTAAAACATAGCCCTGAATTATTTCTAGTTGTTGCATTAGATTACAGCCTTGTTCTTCTTCTGCTTTGCTTCTTTGTCTCTTTTTGCCCTGTCCAGTCCCATGATGACATCGTAGATGATTCTCCATGACTCATATGTTGCGAATGCATCTATTGCTGCATACTCGATAAGCTTTTCTGGCAGTGGGTTGAATCCCCACAGAGTATGGTCCTCCTTGCGGTTAATTTTTTTCTTCATGTCATGGTAGTGAATGTCTATCATCCTGCTAGCAACATTAGCCAAAGAGTCAAACTTCTTTTTATTGTATGGGTCTCTCCATTCCACCTGAATATCAATGTAGTTGTCGGAGTTGATCTCCAAACCAGATAGCTTCAGCTTGCTTTTGTCTCCTTCAATGGCGAATCCGATGAAGGTGTACTCACCATTCATGAGGAATTTATCTAATTCCATTGGCCTGCAAGATGTTTGTATAGAGTGAATATAGTTTATTTTCTTAGAAGTACCAATGTTTTTTGTTTTTTCTGAAACTGAACTGCAATATGAATATCTGAATCTATTGCGTTGAGTAGTTGCTAATACTTTGTTCATCATAACTAGTAAATTTGATAATATATTGCATAAACAATGCATGTTTTGTGCATGATTGTATTCTTGAACTGAATTTCATACATGTTTTGTATAGTAATGTTGCAGTTTTCTATTGTTCTGTCAAATATTTGTATTTGGTAAAACAAAATAAAACTGCGTGTATTTCTAGATCATATAATTCAAGAATCGAGCACATGAGTGACATACATGGAGCCAGATGAAAACTGTCAATGAATTCAGATGCCATGCTTTTCAAAAATGAAAACCAAAGTTTAAATAGTGGCGATTGCAGTGAAGAAAATTTAAAATCAATATTGACAATCAATAGTACAGATTGATAGTTATATTCTGACATGTCTTTAGCTGCAGAGATGTGGTAGACAAGGCATTCTTTTTCTACACATAGCTGGAGCACTGCTGCCCGCTGTGGCTTCACGTAGTGTGTGTACTCGACATCAATGCGACTAGTTTGACGGGCATTCCGCCGAGCTTCCTCCTGAGCGTGGACAGCATCTTGTCCACGTCTTCACCCTTGCTTGTGCAAACAACGTGGAGCTTGTGGTTGCCGTGGAGATCGACGTCGTGGAGCTCCCTGGTGTACCTGCGACGCTGCTTGTAAAGAGGTGCATCCGCCATGACTATCCTCTGCTCTCTCGTGTTTGTTCTGGAGATAAGAGGTTGGTGAAAGGAATTGTGGAGAAGAAGATGCAATGGGTTTTTTTGGGGGACGAAGCAGTTGTGTTTTGTCCTCTGCTCTCCTCTGCTCTCCTTGATAGGACGTGGGAGAGGTGGAGCGGGGTGGTAGCTTGGTGGGGCTCTATTTTAAGTTACGTGGCAACTATAGAGAGGTTGTGCTATGAGGAGGCTCTGTTAGTGCGTTGGAAATCCGGAACGTCGTGTCCTCTTTTTTCGTGACTTGTTTAGGTATGCACGCAACTGTCAGAAAAATGTGATGATTGTGTTTTCGGTGAATTTTCCTATTAAGTGCACTTCTTTTATATCAGAACATAACTGTGTACGTCCACATAGTGTACAGCATGGAAATGAAATTTGTTCTTCGTGCACTGAATTATATCGGATTAGGATTGATACATATGTACGCACATTTAGTTTTTTTCTGGAGTTCTTTCATGCAGTTCTTTATTCTATAACAGACAACTTTGCTTAACTAATAGAGCTGCATTCTTCATTTTAGCCATACTGCAATGCAGTAGAAGGAGAACTGTATGTCAGAAAAAAAATACTTCATGGAGAACTGCATTGTTTGTCATCGCGGACTGCATTTGTACTTTTACTTCTGGCTTTCTGCGTTTTATTTATTATTAACGAACTGTAGTTTCTGGCTGTGCCCACACACATTTTTTCTTTTGTTGTTGTTATTCATTTAAAAAATGTTTTCTAATTTTTCTTTGATGTTTTATTTTTTGAAGTTACTATTTTTTCTTAGTGGGCCTTGTTGGCCTGTGTTCATGGAGTGAAGCGCATTGGGCCCAAGACGGCCTGTGAGCACGGCTGGTTCCTGGTGCGCTGTGTGCCGCCTAATGTTTAGTCCTACCTCGCCCGCGGAAGGCGCACCCGACCTGTTTATAAGCGCTGACGAGGCAGCTGTATCGAACTCCTCTGGTTACTTATTCGAGCGCTTATACACGGCGCTCGCTGCTCTATGCTGTCTGACCTATGGGCCCATGTGCGCCCGGACCTACGCACTGTGGCTCAAAACGACTCACCTACTATTGGCGCAGACCTACTACGAGACTGGCTGGGGCCGACTGCACCTAGGTGGTCAATTTTTTTTCTATTTTGTTTTTTAATGTAAGGGCGCGCATTGCTTAGCAAACCGTCCTTGCGCTGCATTGATCAGTGTTTCTGTACTGCATGTGCAAGCATTCTGTACTACATGTACATTTCTCATTTTTTGTTTTCATGTTTTTGCTCTTTTGTAATCTTTTTTTTCCAGTGTAGGGGAGTGCACTGCTTAGTAAAGATACATGTACTTCATTGATTATGTTCATGTACTGCATGTTCATATATTTCCACACTATGTTTTTTTCAATGTAGATGCATGCACTGCTTTGTAAACCATGCGTGCACTGCACTGATCACTGTTCTGTGCTGCATGTGCACGCAGTCCGTATTACATGCACAGTTCTCATTTTTTTGTTTTCGTGTTTTTGCTCTTACGTAATTTTTTCCAATGTAGGGCAGTGCACTGCTTAGTAAATCATTCTTGTACTGCATTGATTTCATTTGTGTGGTGCACGTTCATATTTTTCGGCACTACATATGCATATTGCATTTTTCTTTTTGTGTTTTTTCTCTTATCTATTTTGTTTTTCCAAATTTAGGGGCGTGCACTGCTTTGTTGGGTATGTGTAAACTTCATTTTGACAAAGTCTGTACTGCATTGGTACACAACTTGCACTGCATGCGTCCTATTTGCACACTCCTCGAATCTAATGATACATGAGCAAACAACAAAAAACAAATTATCACAGGCATTCTGTATGACAAGTTCATCATGAGCAAACTAATTTCAATAGAAAGCAATCTAACATAATCAAAGTTCACATCATTACAAGTGATTCTGCATGGCAAGAAAACTAAGTTTAGCAAAAGCAAATGATCACAAGCAAACTAATGATACATAAGCAAACAACATAAAGCAAATTTGATGATAATTCTAAAATGACAGTGGCATTGGTGGCTCTTTGGCCGGCCCCATCTTCTTCTTCACCAGTCAGCGTCTCCCTATCCCCAGCTGCTCCTGGCGCGCTTCTTGGGGGGCTCCTCCTCCTCCAGCTTTGCATGGCGAACCCGTCCTAGGTGAGGGTGATGCGGTTCCATATCTCGTACGCTGCGTATGCGTCCTTTGCCGCGTACTCGATGTGCCTCATGGACAAAGGCAAGGTGGCCCCGCGCTTGTGCTCGTCGTCGGTGATCTTCTTCTTCATGTTGTTGTAGTAGTCGTCGGTGAGCATGCCGGAGACGTCTCCAAGGGAGTCCAACTCCTTGGTTGCCTCGGGAACCCTCCACTCCTTCTGGATGTCGACAAAGTTGGCGACCTCCAGATTGACGTGATCTAGCCTTTTTTGTCGCCGTCGATGAAGAAGCCTGCAGAGGTGTACCTAGGTCGGCGATGAAGTTGTTGAAGACGGTGCACCTTTCAGCGGCGCTCAGTTGGAAGAGCAGCACCGGGTGTTTCTTGCCGATGGAGAGTTGGCAGAGGGCGGGTTTCTGCGTCGCTTCAGGCTCGTTGTTGTACTCGAGATCAATGCCGACGATATTGTGGCGCTGGAGGCTGAGGTGGCGCTCGTACTGCGCGAGGGTGATCGCCACCTGCTTCTTGTCGTTGGCGTGGATGACGTGCAACTTGGTGTTGCCGTGGGCCTCCACGTCTGTGTACTCGTCGGCGAATGCCATCGCCGGTAGTGGGGCTTGGTGTTTTTGCGTGGAGATGGATGTGATGGAGCGATTTGGTGGCAGCGCGATGGATACTTGTGTTGTTTGTGGATGAGATGGCCTATGGCAGGGGTGTGAATTTAAGGGGAGACGCGGTGTGGGATGGCCGCAGCGGATGAACTGCACGATCTTGGCAATGATGCGATTTGTGCTGATCGTGGGTTGGTGTTGCGTCTGTGATCGTGGGCTTATGGCGATGGAACCGCTCCGATTCGGTGGTTGTATGCGAACGTGGTGTTTTTTTGATAAGTAGATTTTTTTAACCACCACTTTTCTATGCGAACGGGCATTTTTGTGACATTTATATTTATTCTGCGTGATAACGAAACTGCATTGGTTAGAGTACCGCACTGCATCATGTGCAACGGAGAACTGCATGTTGTTTATAGGTGCGTACTTCACAGTATTTTTTGCTTGTCCTTGCTGGAGCCCCTGAATAAAGTACAATGTATTCCGCATTTTTACGAGTTTTTCACTGTGTTCTATATCGTGTTTTTATCCATGTAGGTAATCCGGAACTGGATTTGCTAAACCGTACTGCTTCGTGTAGCTAAATGGACTGCATCTTTGTAGTGCTACGTACTGCATCAATTTTTTGCTTGTACTTACTGCAGTCCCTGTACGGGAGGGGTAGGAGGGGTTGGCCCCCCCATTTATTTTTTGAAGTTATTGTTTTTTCTTAATGGGCCTTATTGGGCTGTGTTCGGGGAGTGAAGACGCATTTGGGCCCAAGTCGGCCTGTGAGCACGGTCGTTTCCCGGTGCGTTGTGTGCGGCCTAATGTTTAGTCCCACCTCGCTCGCGGAAGGCGTGCCCGACCTATTTATAAGCGCTGGCACGACAGCTGTATCGAACTCCTCTGGTTACTTATTTGAGCGCTTATACACGGCGCTAGAAGCTATATGCTCTCTGACATGTGGACCCATGTGCGCCCGACCCCACGCATCATGGCTCAAAACGACTCGCCTGCTGTGGGCGCAGACCTACTACGAGACTGGCTGGGGTCGGCTGCACTTGGGTGGTCAATTTTTTTCTATTTTTGTTTTTTTCAATGTAAGGGCGCACACTGCTTAGCAAATCATCCGTGCACTGCATTGATCAGTGTTCTGGACTGCATGTGCACGCATTTCGTACTACACATGTTTTTGCGCTACATTTTTATGCACTGCATTGGTAAGGGTGTGCACTGCTTTGTTGCCTCTATGCATTGCTTTCTTCATGGTCCTGTGCTTCAGGTGTACACATTTTTTCACTGCGTGCATGCTTCTTTTTGTGCTAAAGTTGTGATTGGTTATGCCAACGCTGCGGACTGCATGGCTTACAGATAAGGACTGCATCAGGTGCACTAATTCTGCTTTTGTGCACTGCGCGAAAGTGCTTTTCTTTGTTCTTCATTTTGAGCATGTACTGCACTTCATGCACACATATAGTGAACTTCCTGGTAAGACTTTGAAGAACTTCACACATAAAATGGTCTGTGGATTAGAATTTTTCAGAGAATTATTATTTAATGATCTGCGGTTAGTTCGTGGGAATTTCTGCAGTTAAAGTCTTTGTTGAACTTCCTAGTAAGACTTTTTTGTTTTGGTAACATAAACCTTTATTGATTGTCCTTCATTCGTGGTAACATAATTTTCATTAATTCCTCTTTAATTTTCAGTTTTGACCTTTTTGCATTCCTCTTCTATAAATGTAGGCCAACTTCTACCCTTCCTTTGCAGTTCATTTCTCCTCTAGCCGCAACTTCTCTCCTTTCTCTAGCCTCTCTTTATTTTTTACCTTTTCTAGGTTTTTGTTGCGATGGCTCCAGGCCCCTGCGTGAATCTCTCCTGCTGCGGGCATGGTTGTGGTGTGCCGACACACTGCGATTGCTCAGCTTGCTCGCAGGTGCGTCGTGCTCGTCGTGGGGGGAAGGTATTGTGCCGAGCTGAGCGAGCTGAGCAGCTTGCATATGGCACAGTATTCACAGAAGGATTGGATATGGGCCACATCAACGTTTCTGCGTTCCATTCCGCCCTGCTTCGATGTGGTCTTGGCCGCACAAGTCCTTTTGTCCATCAGCTTACGCCAACAGATGTTGAGACTCACTACAAGATGGTAATTTTGCTTTGTTCTGATTTTTCTTTGTGTTTTCTTTTTTTGTATAATTCCATACTAGTCTGATCTTCTAGTTTTTTA